CCTCTTGGGACTCTACACTCTCATAAGCTATAGAATTTACTGAAGATCTAAGGACTTGCCTTCCCTCTTCTGTGTTTCCATCCTGTCTTAGTAGATTCCTAAAGTTCTGAGAGAGACACTTTAGAGAGTATCTTGGTCAAATCCCTCATTTTAGAGAAGATAAGCCTGAAGCCTGGCTTTCCCAAGGTCATGTGCAAAAGAGTAGTAAGGCTGGGATGAGAACCCACATCTCTGAAGACCCAGGCCAATACTCCTTTTACTGCCTATTTTGTTGAGTCAGAAGAGCACAAGATTTCCAGTCAGGCACACTTGGATTCATTTGTGTGACCTGCCGTGTATTGTGTGAATGTAGAAAAACTATTTAATCTCTTTGAGTTCCAAGTTCTTCATCTTCGAAAATGGGAACGAGCTCACAGCATTGTTATGATAATTGAGTGAATATCAAACTGTGCTTAGCATGTTTCTTGGCATGTTTTTTAGCATGTAGTAGGCCTCCATTTAAATTCCTCTCTAATTCCCTTACCCTCCTCTTCCCTGCTTCTTGACTTATTTATCTGCCCTTTTATAACCCCTGCTTTCAGGCTTCCTCCAGTCCACTGTTTCTAGTGACTTCCCCAATTCCTGTAAATATCTCCCAAGGGCCATGACACCCTGATAAAGTCCTAAGGATATTTGTGGAACCCCTTCATGGTTGGCTGCTGATTTTCCATTTTTTCTTCCCCTCCCACCCCACAGCGGTACAAGAGGAGCGTCAGCGGGGGAAGGACAAGGACGGGGATGGGGAGGGGGCTGGGGGAGCCCCTGAGGAGATGCCTGTGGACAGGATCCTGGAGGCAGAGCTTGCTGTGGAGCAGAAGAGTGACCAGGGCGTTGAGGGTCCTGGGGGAACCGGGGGTAGCGGCAGCAGCGTGAGTGATGGGGTTAATCTACTCTTCTTCATGGTGGGGTATTGGGGGAGGGAATCCAGGTCTGTTCTATGTCCCCTCCCCCTCCCTTCCCCTCACAATTCTCCTTACATGGCTTGGGACTGGAAGTGCGGCCAAACAGGTCTTTCAAACACCTGAGGTGGGTGTGATAGCTCCTCTGTCCCCACTCCCAAAACAACCCACTGGCAGGACCACAGGCAAGTCCCAAATAAGTAATCATCTACATTAATGCCAGAAGAGAAGTCTGACTTATAACAGAGATTGGTTTAGTTGGAGCTTGAGGGAAGACTATATATAAGGAAGGGATGTCAAAATCCTCTTACAAGGAGGCTGCCAGTATACCTCGAGGCCTTCCATAACTCCTACCCTCCGTCTCCTGCAGCCAAATGACCCCGTGACTAACATCTGTCAGGCAGCTGACAAGCAACTATTCACACTTGTTGAATGGGCGAAGAGGATCCCACACTTTTCCTCCTTACCTCTGGATGACCAGGTCATACTGCTGCGGGCAGGTCAGTGACCTTGGATCTCTTTGACCTCCTGACCTTTAGTGACCCCAGTGGCCGTACCTTGCATACTGAGGGAGCCAAGCTAGCTGACCTGGCCACCTCTTTTCTTCTTCTCTTCCACCAATGTGCTTTGAATCCCATGGTCTTATCTCTGTCCTGACCCTTGCTACCCTACCCAGGCTGGAACGAGCTCCTCATTGCCTCTTTCTCCCACCGATCCATTGATGTTCGTGATGGCATCCTCCTGGCCACAGGTCTGCACGTGCACCGCAACTCAGCCCATTCTGCGGGTGTGGGAGCCATCTTTGATCGGTCAGTGGCCCTTGGCTGGGCTGGCATGTTGGTAGAGGGGGTGGGGCTATAGGCTGGTCCGTGTCCAAGGCTGGCTGAGCTGTGACCTTTGAGTGACCTGCAGGTCCCTCTCCAGGGTGCTGACAGAGCTAGTGTCCAAAATGCGTGACATGAGGATGGACAAGACAGAGCTTGGCTGCCTGAGGGCAATCATTCTGTTTAATCCAGGTAAGGGGAGGATTACCCTTGTCTCTCAAGGCCAAGGCAACCTTGGAGCTTCCTCTTCTCCAGAGCTCCTAAGTTACCCAACTGTCCCCTCAGTAAGACCCTCAACCCGGAAATCTCCCATGTACCTGAGGAAAAACCCACATCCACTGATACATTCCCTTTGACCCCATCCCACAAACCCAGTGGGCCTGCTTCCCTTGCCAGGCATCTGGTAAAAGGCAAGCAGGTGGAGCCCAAAAGGGCCATCCTGTGGGCTACATCTATCTGTTCTGATTTGATTTGTCTTCCTTCCTCTTCCTCGTCTCTTCCCTGCCATCCCAGATGCCAAGGGCCTCTCCAACCCCAGTGAGGTGGAGGTCTTGCGGGAGAAAGTGTACGCATCACTGGAGACATACTGCAAGCAGAAGTACCCTGAGCAGCAGGGACGGTGAGATGGAGTCATGGGGACTGAGGCGCCCATGGGAGTGGGGAGTGCCATGAGGTGTGTTTAGGTCCTGTGTGCTTCCAGTTCTCACTCCTTCTCTCACCTCTACCCTAGGTTTGCCAAGTTGCTGCTCCGTCTTCCTGCCCTCCGGTCCATCGGCCTTAAATGTCTAGAGCATCTGTTTTTCTTCAAGCTCATTGGCGACACCCCCATTGACACCTTCCTCATGGAGATGCTCGAGGCTCCCCATCAGCTGGCCTGACCCTAGACCCAAACATGGCGCTTCTCACACTTGAAGAGCACACATCCAAGAGGGACTCCAAGCCCTGGGGCAGGGTGGGAAAGGCCATGTTGCCGGAACCTTGGAGTGAGAAGTATACGCAAAACTGAGACCTCCAAGGGGATCTAAAAACCCTCCAAGGGGTTTGCTTGATATCCCAATTTAGAGGGTACCCCAGATCCCTGTGAGGACTGGACATCTCCTTTCATTGGCCTTGAGTCTCTGAATTTGTTGGGATTTCCCATGATTTGGGGTGATTTCTCACCCCCTGGCTTTTCCCTGGCACAAAGCACTGGTCCTGCTCCTGGGACCTTGCATCCCTCTCATCTTGCCTCACTTTGCTCCCCATCTAAAGAATGGAAATGGAGAACTTCCCCAGAGATAGATATTGGGGGGCAGGCCCCCCAAACCCAAACTAATAGGCATGGGAGTAGGGCTCTGACAGGCCTCTCTCTTCCCAAACCTGGCAGATGGGCACCTCTCTGGAAGAGGGAGGGCCCTGTCACTGTCTCCTGTCTAACGTCCCCTTTTACACTTCATCTCCTGCAGTCAGACTGAAAAATAAAAAAGGTGGTGGTGCTGATGGTGAAGGAGCTGGTGGACATGTAGGGATTATCTGCTATTTTAAATTTCTTCAGAGGATCGAGACTTGCAGTTAGACTCAAAGAAGTACTGTACTTTCCCAGGTTGGCTAAGAAATGCCAGTGGTGGAGGTGGGTGTTTGGGAAAGGCAGGGCCTGAGATGGTCCGTCCCTGCACTCTCCAAGCACTGGCCTTCCCAGTTCCCCTCCCATCTCTTCCTGTCTGACTGGTGGAAGGGGCCTGGGCTGTGACCACAGGACCTGGCAGGGATGGTTTGGTGAGTGCAGTTCTCAGCCCTTCCCTTCACAGCTCTCCCCCAGCCCTGGGCACACAGCATAGGCTGGGGACACATGCTCCTGCCCTGAGAATTGAGGGGAGGTGGCCAGCCCACAGAGCTGGGGTGCTGGGGCTGCATGATTTTTGCCCTGCGTCTCTTCTCTTTGGGGTTCCTCTCCCCTCTCTTTCACTCACACATAAAATCGCTTTCAAATTAAAATCGCTGTTTTCTGGACTGAAGTGACTGTTTGGGCAGCGGGCATGGGCAGCGCCGGGCTTGGGGGGCGGTATCCGGTTGGGAGCTCAGGAGAGACTCCCTTGACGCCGGAGCTGAGGTTCCCTGGGGCCGGAGAGGCGGGCGCAGGGTGGGGGACACAAGGCGAGCTTTGTCGGGGAGGGGGAAGAGGGTGTGCCAGGCTGGGGGCGGGGCCGGCCGGCGCGGAGGGGGGCGGCGGGTTCTCAAAGGCGCCTTGTTCGCTCTCGCGCCCTCCCAGCGCCAGCGGGCGGCGGCGCCTCGGCTCGCGCCGGCCCTCTCTCCAGCCGCTCCGCGGGCTCCGGGCAGGCCCGGCGCCGTGCCCGTTCGTGGGGGCGCGCTGGGCGCCGGGCGCAGCGGCCTCCTCAGGCGCCGCCCGCCCGGAGGCGCCCCATGTCCTTGCGTGACCCCATTTCACTGGAGCCTTCCAGAGTCGACCGCTCCCTCTTCTCACCTCTGCTCCCTCGCACCTGGCTCTGCGGCTCCCTTACCTCTGCCCCCGTTTTCATCTCCTTGGACCTGACTGTCCAGTTTGTGTGTCGGTCACAGTGTGGCCTCTGTCTGCCCCTAAGCGGCTCCCCCGCGCGGCAGGGCGGCCTCCGGGCGGTCGCTATCTATAGCCCGCTGTGAATGCCCGCCGCTCTGTAATTACGGCGGCCGGGGAGGCAATTGTGGAGACCCGAGCATGGGTGGGGTGCGGTGGGGTGGGGTGGGTGGCGACCCCCAGGCCCGCCTCTCTCCTCCCACTGTGCCCTCAATCCCGCCCCAGATTTTGCTAAAGGGGGCTGGGGCCCCTAAGGGGGAGGGAAAGGGGCTATGACTGGCCGTTTGGGTCCTAGAAAAGGAAGGGGCTAGGCAAGATCTGTTGGGTTCCCGAAAAGAGAATCTTAGCGTGCGAGCCATCGAGTCCCTGCAAGGAGCAGAGAGCAGTCGGAGGGGCTGTGAGGGAGGGAGGGAGAGGGAGGGATCCCCAGGTGGAGGCCGAGGGTGGGGTTTCCCGTGGTGGCTGTGGGCGGGCGGCTGGCGACGGGGCCGGGCCGGGGCGGGGGCGAGGTGGGGGCCCGGGGCCGCCGGGGTGGGGGACACTCAGGAGCGGCGGCCACCGAGGAAGGAGCAGTGCCCGAGCCCCGACGGCACCTCGCCGCATGGAGCTGGGCCGCTGAAAGCTGTGGCCTCTGACCTCCCCACCCGCGTCCGCGTCCGAGGCTCACTGCCGGCTGGTTGTCTTCTGTCGGCCTCCGGGCGTCCGGCGCCTCGGGCCCACCACCTGGGTCTCTGGGACGGGGCTTTCCGGTCGCTCAGCCATGGGGCGGTGCAGCCATCGCCTCCTCCTGCTCCTACCTCTGGTGCTGGGGCTGAGCGCGCACCCGGGCTGGGCAGGTAAGAGGAGTCCCGATGCCGGGGTCCAATCGGCTACAGCTCTAAGTACCCCTGGGGAGGGGACAGCTGATGACTGGGGCAGGAGCTTCTGAGTCTGAAAAGGAGGTTTTGCGAGTCTAAGGTCCAGACTGGAGGGCAAGACACCTGGGTTCCTTGCAGTCAGGGCAGGGATCTCTCCCTCCTTGAAGTGACTGTGGGAGGGCAGGTAAGGCTGAAAGGTGGAGGACCACCTTAGAGAGCCCCAGGTGGCCAGGGCCAGTCCGGTCCAGGTGTTGCTGGTGTTGAGGTGGTGGATGACAGTGTGGATGGATGCGGGGTGTGCGTGTGTCTTCTGGGCTTTCTGTCTATATCTTTGGGATGAGGGGTGAGCATCTGTGGTTCAGAGCAGAGCCCAGTAAGCCAAGAAAGAAGGGATGCCTCAACTGTCCGTCCTGTTGGCTTTCTTGACAGGGTTCCCCTCCCCCGCCCTGTGCCCTCAGTGCTGCCACGCAGCTGGCTCTGGGGAGCACTGGGGCTGGCTGCCAACAGGACGGCCGAGGCTGCCGGACAGGCCAGGATCAGGTGTCTGAGGCCAGAGCCAGCTCTTTGCATTCCTGCCCGGCCCCTCCTCCTCTGGCCAGCCGGGCTCCCCAGGGACCCTGGTGTCCACAACCCCAGTCTTTTCCTTTTTTTTCCCAGGACCCAGAATTCCTGGCTGCTAGGAAAGGGGATTTGATGTCAAAGAGGAGGGGCTGGGAGGGCTGTGCCCTAGGCAGGCTGGAGAAGCCCCCACTCCTGGAAACATTGGGGGCTGATTTGTATATAACTTGACTATTCATTTCTTCTCTGCTTTGGAGAGAAAATGGTCAGAATGGCAGCATAAAGGATTTAGGTTCAATATGGAAGGAACTTCCAAGATGTGAGGCATGTGAGGCTCAGGGACAGGAAATTGAAGTGTGTGGTGTCTGTACACCCTAGGAGTCTCTCTTAGGGTGAAAAAGAACCCTCTCACATGGAGGCAGGGGGATGGCTAAGATGACTGTCTCTTATTTCAGGGCTGAGTGGGTAGAGGTGGGACTCTAGGGAAATGGGTTACTGTGGAATTTCTAAGCTTAAAGAATAAGGCGTTTGGGCGGCCTGAGGTAGAGCAGTGGAGGGTGATGGGAAGCTTGGGGCAGATGAGGCTGGAGACAGAGGGGCAAGGAAGTGGCCTGATGTGGGAAGATGGTGGGTGGACCTGTGGGTAGGTTGTCTATAGGATTGAACTGTACTCTCCTGGGGTTTGATGGAGAGTTGGGGCCTCTGAGGTCTCCTTGGCCTGGGGTCTCTGTGAGTCTCTGTGTCTCTGTCTCACTCACTCTAGGTCTCTCAAAGCTGCCCTTATGTGTTGGTGTTTGCGGAGCTGCCACACGCGCAGGGGCCAGGATCAGGCGGGGGGTGGGGGGCCAGCCTGCGGTTTCCCGGCTCCTGGACTCAAAGGGCCTTTTCTCTGCCTGCCCGCCCCACCTCACCCACCCACCCAGCTCCGCTCTCCTGATTGCTCTGGCCTCTGCACTGCCCACAGTTCTGTGAACATTTTGCTGGAGCTCCCTCTTTGGGATTTTTCCAATCAGGAGCTGGTGGTATGAGGACTATGTATACTGAGGAGCAAGTGAAGGAGAGGTGACCTCTGTCTTTCAGGGAGTTTGAGCCTTAGGAAGCTGAGTTCTAGGTGGACAGGGCTGGTGGCCTGGGTCTCGAATCTTTGGATCCCAGGTGGTGGGGGTGGCAAGGCAGGATTGATGTTCCAGGTGTGGGGAGCTTGCCCGGGTTTGGGCAAGGACTCTGATGGGATCCACAGATGTGTGGCTCAGGGCCCTGGACCTGCTCTGGCTCTGCGTGGCAGCTTCAGCACCCCCCCTCCCCAGCCCACCTCCCAAGTCAGGGGGCATGGGCTCCTGGGAAGGCCCTTTCTTGTATCTTCTTCCTTGGCATGGTCTGAGTTGCCCCCCACCCAATGAACCTGGGATTTGCAGGGGCTTGAAGGCCCCTTCCACAGCGCTCCTCCTGCTCGCTCCCTCATGGCCCCCCTGCACCTCTTGTGCCCAGGATAATCGATGGCCCAGATGTTGTTTGTGCTGGAGACGGGACAGATGCCAGAGGCCCAGAGAGTGAGAGATATGGAAAGGGAGTGAGAGTGAGGAAGAAAGACAGGGAAAGAAGATAGAATGTGAGGAAAATGAAGGAAGACAAGAACAGGGGAACAGACCAACAGTCAGAGACAAAGAGAGTAAAAGAGACAGTGCAAGAGAAGGGGAGACATGGAGAGTTAAGAGAGAGGGCGAGAGAGAATAGAAAGAGAGCCATAGGCTGAAAGACAGGTGGGGAGAGTAGGAGAGACATGCCAGCAGGGAGGGCAGGAGTGGGCGTGGAGCCGGGTACCCCAGTGCTGTCCTGTATCTCCAGGCAACTCTGCCTTTCCCATCCATTTGGGCCCCATTCAGGAGTGACTGAGGGAGACAGTGACTTTTGTCTTCCAGGAAGACAAAGAGCCCTAGGAAGCTGAGTTCTAGATCCCAAATGTGCCCTGTTTATGCCCTCCTGAGGGCATGTCCCTTACCCTGATCCTCATGGGCTCTCCCAGGTACACCCCCTGTGGATGTGCTCCAGGCCCTGAGGTTCCCCTCTGTCCCTGATGGTGTCCGGAGGGCAAGAGGCATCTGTCCAGCTGATGTGGCCTACCGAGTGTCACGACCTGCCCAGCTCAGTGCACCCACCCGCCAGCTTTTCCCAGGTATGGGTGACATGATGGGGTAGGGACACCTGGGGGAAGTAATAGGGTGGGGTGTGGGATCAGACACCAGGAAGGGAGGGGTTATGGCCCTCTTTGCCTCTCACTCTACCTGTGTGCATCTCTCTTGGATACTAGGAGGCTTTCCCAAAGATTTCTCTCTGCTGACTGTAGTCCGGACCCGCCCTGGTCTCCAGGCTCCCCTTCTGACTCTCTACAGTGCCCAGGGCGTCCGGCAGCTGGGCCTGGAGCTTGGCCGACCTGTCCGCTTCCTGTATGAGGACCAGACTGGACGGCCGCAACCTCCGGTTCAGCCGGTCTTCCGAGGCCTCAGCCTAGCAGATGGCAAGTAAGTCCGTTTGCTCCTCTGGTCTGCCTGGCTGACACTTTTAGGAGAAAGTGCCCCAGAAGCCCTACTCCCCAAACTGGGAAACTCTGCTAACTCTTTTGGCCACACTGCTGCTACCTGGTGCCAAGACTTCAGTCAGTTCTAGCCCAGAGTTTGGGCTTTAGAGTTTGCTTTTTTCTCTGCATGTTGTACTAGCCTGTACTTTGGACATGTTACTTAACCTTTTTGAGCCTCAGTTTCTATGTCTGTAAAATAGAGATAATAGAATAGTGACGATCAAATGAGGAAATGATAGCATGGTGACTGGTGCACTGTAACCGTAAATGGTGGCTATTGTGTTACTATAATACTGTTGTCACTGGCTTCGGCTCTTCCATCAGCTGCTCCCCAGCCCTGTTGACTCCCTGCCTTCAGTCAGTCACTTGAACCTCTCCTCCCACATGACCAGGTGGCACCGTGTGGCTGTGGCTGTGAAGGGCCAGTCTGTCACTCTCATTGTTGACTGCAAGAAGCGAGTCACCCGGCCGCTACCCCGAAGTGCTGGCCCAGTGTTGGACACCCACGGAGTGATAATCTTTGGTGCCCGTATCCTGGATGAGGAAGTCTTTGAGGTAACCAGAGCGATCAGAGAAGGGAGTGGTTCCTGGCCCACTCCCCTTCTGGCCCCAGTACTCCATCTTCTAACTCCTAAGGCCTTCATTTTTCCTCTCATAAATTTTTATTTGCATTTTCTATTTTCAGGGCTAATTTTCTCTGTAGTATAATTAGATGCCCACTTATGTGGCAGGACTGTTAACAGCCACTTATTGTGTTGTTCAGACTTTATCAGTTCACCCATCCATCCATTCCTCAACCCATCTCTTTACTCACCCACTCACTCATTCACCCACTCACCCCCTGGCCCATCTATGCACACATGCATGCCTCCACCACACACTCATCCGCTGGCCCACCTATGCACACATGCATGCCTCCACCACACACTCACCCCCTGGCCCACCTATGCACACATGCATGCCTCCACCACCCACTCACCCCCTGGCCCACCTATGCACACATGCATGTCTCCACCACACACTCACCCCCTTGGCCACCTATGCACACATGCATGCCTCCACCACCCACTCACCCCCTGGGCCACCTATGCACACATGCATGCCTCCACCACACACTCACCCCCCCACTGGCACACCTATGCACACATGCATGCCTCCACCACCCACTCACCCCCCCACTGGCACACCTATGCACACATGCATGTCTCCACCACCCACTTACCCCCTGGCCCACCTATGCACACATGCATGCCTCCACCACCCACTCACCCCCTGGGCCACCTATGCACACATGCATGTCTCCACCACACACTCACCCCCTGGCCCACCTATGCACACATGCATGCCTCCACCACACACTCACCCCCTGGCCCACCTATGCACACATGCATGCCTCCACCACCCACTCACCCCCTGGGCCACCTATGCACACATGCATGCCTCCACCACCCACTCACCCCCTGGCCCACCTATGCACACATGCATGTCTCCACCACCCACTCACCCCCTGGCCCACCTATGCCGACATGCATGCCTCCACCACCCACTCACCCACTGGCCCACCTATGCACACATGCATGTCTCCACCACCCACTCACCCACTGGCCCACCTATGCCGACATGCATGCCTCCACCACCCCCTCACCCACCCACTGGCACACCTATGCACACATGCATGCGTCCACCACACACTCACCCACCTAACTGTTCCCACACTTACCTATATACTCATGCATGTAGACTTATGTCCACCCACCTGCCCATCTACCCCTTCCTTAATCACTCCCCCTTCAAACCACCCAACTATCCATCTGTCATCTGTCCATCTATCCTCTTCAACCCATCCAGCCATCTGCTCACTCAGCCATCTACCCACCCACCCCATCTGCCCATGCATATACACAGATGCATGTGTGCATGCAGCCATCCACCCACCCATCCACCCACCAACTCAACCACTCCCTCCTTCAATACACTCACCCACCTGTCTCCTCACACACCTACTCCCCATTCAACATTCATTCACCCACATATTCAATTCCACCCATCTACCTATTCACCAGTCTGCTTCCATCTACTCTGTACCTCTACCCACCAATCCACCCATACACACATTCATTCATTCACCATCCATCAACACTCCCATTCAACCATGCATTTGAACCTCCACCCACCCATCCACCTATCTATTCATTCATCCATCTGTCTATCCACCCACCCAGCCAGTCAACATTTTCTGAACACCTGCTGGCTAAGGGGAACACAGAAGAATCTAAGCTCTCTATCATCCCAGGAGCTCCCAGTTTGGCTCTAGAAATGAGATACTATCCCCAAATTACAGTGCAAGAGAGGGTGTGCTAAGCACCATGTGTGGGCACAAATAAATGCCATTGGAATTCTGAAGTTGGTCCCCTCCCCTAGCTCTAGAGGACCTCAGAATTCTCATCATCACTTCCATTGGTAGGCCAAGGCAACTAAGGCTGGGCCACTGTCTCCCGAAGCCACTGTGAAAAGGCCCATGCATTGCCACAAGGGGTGAGGGGTAGGGGTTCTAGTCCTGGAAGGCCTGGGTTCTTAGTCCTGATTCTGCCACTCTGAGTGACCTTGGGCCAGTCATTGCCTTTTGCACTTTTCTGAATGGAATGTATCTGAACAAGGGGCATAAAGATCTTTGTCCTACTGACTTTCCTCATTGTTATGAAGGATCCATGAGATCCTTTGAGAACTGAAAAGGGCTATGCCCATGAGAAAGCCGATAATGACCTTCTCCCATTGTACATTTTTACCTAGAATTGGCCTCCTACCTTTTGTCCCAGACTATTCCCTCTGTCTCTCTCTCAGTCTCCCTTCATTGGTGTTCCTTCCCCATGTCTTTGCAGGGTGATGTCCAGGAACTTGTCATTGTCCCCGGGGTCCAAGCTGCCTATGAATCCTGTGAACGGAAGGAGCTGGACTGTGAGAGGGGCCAGAGAGAGAGACCTCAGAACCAACAGTCCCACAGAGCCCAGAGATCTCCAAAGCAGCAGCCATTAACACTGCATAAGCCACAAAACCAGGAACCCCAGCGACAGGTGAGGGAGCTGAGTGAACCCCCAGATGAGCATGCCCCAGAGAGGGAAGACACCCAGACATCTCCCCCTTTAGATCCCTCCCCAACCATACCTCCATAACCCCCTCCTCCCAGTCCTCATTCATCAATCTTTTTATTTTCATTTAAAAATAAAAAGAGTCGTTATGAAGAATTTGTGGCTGGGAGCTGTGTTCCCTGCTTGTGTCTCCTCCCCTTCCAGTCTTCCTGGAACTGTGCCCCTGGGCTTCCCATTCCTTCCTTGAATTAAGAGATTGGGAGAGAAAAGGGGAGCAGAGCAGGAGAGACAGAAGCTGGGAGAGAGAAGTCCAGATGGTGGGACCCAGGAGAAACAGGGAAGGAATAGGGATAGAGGATCCCCAAGGTGCAGGGTCTGCTGAAGTGTGGGATTGGGGAGCCCAGTCTCTGCCCCCTCCACCCGGAGGGACAGGATTAGGACTGCTGAGGGGAAAGGGTCCTTGGGAAAGGAAACTGGTCGGGGTGGAGTCTGGACGGCTAGAGTACAGATATGATCTGGGGCCAGTGGTCTGAAGATTGGAGGGTTAATCTCTTAATCATGTCTGTCCCACACACGGGACCCCTTCTCCCCTTCCCACCTCTCTCCTGACCCCCAACCTTTCCTTGCATCCTCAACTCTCTGCTTCCCAACTCCACGCCAATGTCCCCGCCCTTCCCCCCAACCCTCCAATTGCCCCATCCCCCTCCTGCCTATTCCCCCCTCCCAGCCCACTGAGTCTCTCTACTATGACTACGAGGCCCCCTATTATGATGCGATGACTACAGGGACGACCCCTGATTATCAGGTAAACTTGAGGGACCTCTTTGTTTCTTCCCTTCCTCCCAGCATCTCCTGTGACTCCTCCCTCCCCCATCTGTGGGGAGAGACACCATATATAGATTATGGGGGTTTACTCACTCAGTGCCCCTCCATGTCTCTCTGCTGCAGTGGCCTCGGAGCCCCCACCACAGGGCTCCCCCTTCCCCTAGGGGGCGTCGGACCCCTCCCCGAAAGCCCACCCCACCCGCCAAGAGGTCAGCAGCCCGGCAGGCGTCCCCCTCACCGGGCTGGAGGCCCTCCCCAGCTGGAGGCTCTGGCCCAGCCCGGAGCCAGCCTCCCCGCTCCGGACGCCCGGCTCGGCGGGCTGCTTCCCCCGCCGCCCCCGCCCTCCCCAGGACCAGAGGCAGCGGGTACCGGCAGGTAGAGCCGGGGCATCCAGATCTCTGCCCCCAAACTTCTATGACCTTGGAGATTCAGTCTCCCCAAACTGTCCCCCTCCAAAGGGGCTGCAAGATCTGAGATTTCCCCCATCCCCCAGCACAGACGGACCCTGCCCTGGGGTGGAGGGACAGGTGCTGCTTTGCCTCCCCTTCCGCTAACCTCTCTCCTTCTCCACCCTGTGCTACACTCCTCCCCTCTGCCTGGGGTTAGGACCCCACCCCCAGTGAAGAAGAAGAAATCCCGGAGTCCAGCCCCTTGCCACCCCCTGAGGAGGTAACTCCATCCCCTGCCCTCACTCCAGCTGGGGGCAGTGGGCATCTGTGACCCAGTCCTCTTGCCCTGTGCCATCTTGATGAGCCAGCCCCTCTTCTGGCCAGAGGGCTCTTTGTCATTTCCATTTATGGCCTTCTGTCTTCTGATCACTCCAGACCTATGGGGTGGCTTATCTCTTTAAGTCTGTCTAAGTGTGTCCGTGCCACCTGCCATCATTCTGGTTCCAGAGTAATCTCCTCTTCATGCTGGTGCCAAATGGTCTGATTTCTGTGTCCTATTTCCATTCCTAGGAGCCATTTTCTGTCCAATGCTGTCATTTTTTCTTTTCTCCTAGTCTCTCTGTCTCTTTGGTCATTCCCGGACTTTGTCTATCATTACATCCGTGGACTGTCATCTCCGTATCCAGCCCTCTGGCCATCCTTCCTGTTTTCCACCATTTCTTCCCACCAGGCCCATTTGTGGGACATCCCTCCCCAGTTTTGGCATTCAGTGGCCATCCCATTTCTATACAGCCACTCTCCTTGCTCTTCTTGGGAGAACAACTCTGGTCTCGATCATCCTCAGAATCCTTTGGGCTGGAAGTTGTCACACCCTGGGGTCTGGGGAGAGCCTCCTCTCAGCCCTAACGCCCCCGTCTACCCCTTGTCCGTCCCGCCTGGGAAGGAGCAGACAGATCTCCAGGTGCCCCCCACAGCCGACAGGGTCCGGGCAGAGGAATATGGGGAGGGTGGCACGGAGCCCCCAGCAGGGCCCTACGATTACGCCTATGGCTATGCGGAAGATTATCGTGAAGAGCCGGAGCTTGGCCCTGCCCTCTCTGCGGAGACAGTCCACCTGGGAGCCGTAAGTGAAGGGCGCTCCTCTCCCATCTGACCACCAGTGGGAGCCACAGGAACTGCTTCTTGTTGGTTTTGATCCTTGTCTGTCAGCTCTGCCCCACTTCCCGTTGGTGGTATGCCATTTTCCGTTCACATGAGATGTGTGTTTTGCTGGAAAAGACACTTCCTGCCTTCCCTTGCCAAATGTCTTGCCCTGTGACTCCTTGTGGGTCCTTCTGCCCAGGGCATTGGGATTTAAAAAAAAATCTTGTGGCCACGTCCTGTCTTTCTTGGTCACTTTCTGTCTAAACCAATCAAGCTGTATTTCATAAAGCTTTTGGTCAATAATCCCCTACCCTGTGTCCATTTTCAGTCTGTCTCTGTCATTTCTTCTTGGTCAGAACAGTATCTTGTCATGTTGCTGTCAAATGATCTAACTTCCTACGTTACATTTTCCAATCCACAGGCCACTTCTCGTTTGTCCCTTCCTGCTGTGGCATACGTCTTGGTGTCTGTGTCAGATTGGACTGAAAGGGATTTGTTGTTTGTGTTCTACCTGTAGTTTTTTACGCTGTCCTGTGACAATTTCCTTTGGCAATAAGCCATTTCCTGTGTGTCTCAGGTCATCCAAATTGTACAGTTTCCATTGTGGGCCTAGATATTTACCATGGCCACTTCTTGTGTGTCCTAGCCTTGATGTTTGTGTTTTCCTGAAGAATTACCTTTCATTGTCATAATTCCCTTTGCAGGAGTCACTTTATGTCTATTTTGCTGATGTCTTTTTTCTCTTGGTGACAGTAGCCAGGTTGCTGTTGAAGGTTCACCTCCTGTGTCCTCTTTCCTTGGCTCTTCCTAGTCTGTCCAGCCACTTCCTGTTTTTCCAGTTTGTTTTCTAGCCATCTTGGCCATGTTGAATTTTTCTTGGCCCTGGCATCATTCTTGCTTCCAAGTGTTTGTCATTTTGTCCTGCCTCCCTTGATTGTTCCCCATGTTTTCTTTTTTTTTTTTTTCAGTTGGCCAATTAATTTATTTCTATTTTTAATAGAGATGGGGTCTCTCTCTTGCTCAGGCTGGTTTGGAACCTGTTCCCCATGTTTTGAACCACCCTGTCAGCTGGAGTGTTTCCTGTCTGCTTCATCCCTGCCTGCCCCGCAGTCTTGGCTGCCTCCTCTACCTGCCACCTCACCCCACACCTCCCTTCTCTAATATTGCCACCCTTGACCCTCTGCTGCTTTCCCTTATGCTGCTCTTTGGATATTTGGGGTTGATCTAGGACTGGGGAGAGTTTGGAAACTGATCATTGCTGTTTGGTTAGGATAGAGGGGAGGGGGCCGTCCCAAAGACCTCTGTTGGGAGAGTTGGGGGTGGTGGCGAATGTCCTCCCTTCTCCCTGTACTTATCTTGGTTCTGGTCCTAGAGTTGGGAGTAGCCATCGGAGTGGAAGCATGACAGGGAGGGAACTGGTGGGCTTGGAGAGACAGAGGAGGGACAGAGGAAGGGCATAGCCTCCTTGCTGAGAGAGGAACTGGGGGACTTGCAATGGGGGGCTGCTCTTGGGGTTGGAAAACTGAGCCCAAGAACTATATTTTTCTGAAAGCTAGTTATGGGGCCTGAGTTAGGGGTATCAGAGGTGACTACTCTCCAAATTTACTTAGGATATGGATGCTTAACCTTTGGGAAGTTTTTAAATTGTGAATCCCTTGAAATCTAAATAAAATTCTGTGCACAAGGGCATATACTTTTTCTTTTCTGGAGAAAGACTCATAGCTTTCATCAAATTTTCACATGGGTTCCTGCCCTCCCGTTACCCCCAAATAAAAGTCTGTCTACAATCATAGAGAGATTCTTATTTGATGGGCTGGGGTAAGGGTGAGGAAGTGGATGCCTTCTTAAGATTCTAGGGATTCCTGGGGCCATGGGGAGTTTGAGGAACCTCTGGGTGGGATGCTCTAGAAGAGGGTTTGGGAAGGTTAGGGTTTGAAATCCCAGGAAGGGTCTGAGAACTTTCCTGACAGAAGCGCTCAGGGAGATGGGAGGTTGTGTTGCTGAGGTGGGGCTGGGACTTGGTGGGTGGAGCCTGTGGTCTCCTTGGCGGGCCTGCAAGGTCTGTGAGGGCAGGTTTTTGGGGAGGGCTGGCAGATTTGGGGGGTAGAGTCAAGGAGGTCTCAGAGGATGTAAGAATCAAGGCTGGATTTGGGTGGGGGCGGTCCTGGGGTCCTGGCTGCTCACAGGCCCCACTGGGGGTTACATGTGTGTCTCCCTCAGGCTGCCCACGGACCCCGGGGGCTGAAGGGAGAGAAGGGGGAGCCCGCGGTGCTGGAACCTGTGAGTTACCCTGGTGCTGAGGCAGTGGGAAGAGGGGAAGCAAGCGGGGGTGGGGAGCTAGCCTTGTGGTGTCTGACTTTCAACCTTTGACTCCGCAGGGTATGCTCGTGGAGGGGCCTCCTGGCCCAGAAGGCCCTGCGGTGAGTCTGGCTGTGACTTGTTAGACTCCATTCTTTTCTCAGAGACCTTCCCCCATATGCCCAGGCCTCCTTCCCAGCACTCTCGAGAATCCTTCCAATCGAAGCTTCCCGGAGCCCCAGACTTCTTCAGGAAGACCACCTCAGCCACATGCCCTCTTCTGCCTGGATGTCCACACCTGACCCCTGCTCTTCTGTTCCTCAGGGATTGACTGGTCCCCCTGGCATCCAAGGGAACCCAGGCCCAGTTGGAGACCCTGGCGAGAGGGTAAGGGAGTGTCTTGTGGGGGTGGGGGCTGCAGAGGAGCTGCCTGTGCCCCGCACGAGTGTTCCTCGTTAGCTGGCTGGTGACTGAGGGGAGGCGTGCTCCCCAGAACCCAGAAAGGAGGGCAGTCTCTGGTTGGAGAGGGGAGCAATCTGCATCTCACCCCCATTTTTCTCCATGGGGGTGGGGAGCTCAGGAAAAATCTAGGGAGTCTACATCTGTTCTCTTGAGGAGGGTTGCATAACGACGGTATGACCTTGGCACCCCCCATCTGTCATTGTGTCTGTCTCATTCTCTCCCCACTCCAGGGCCCCCCTGGCCGAGCAGGGCTCCCTGGATCAGATGGGGTGCCTGGCCCTCCTGGCACATCCCTCATGCTGCCAGTGAGTTGTCTTCTGGGCTTTGGAAGGGGCCGAAGGGAAGAACAGGGGGATTGTGTTGTGTCACCAAAACCCAAAAGGTCAGGGAAGCTATGGAGGAGTATCTAGAGACCATCAACCCAAAGGGATTGATCTTTGGAATGAGGGAGTTGGAACTTCATTAGATGACCTAGAACCAAACATGGATCTTCTAGAACCAAATAAATCATTTAGAACTGGACAGAAATTCCTACATTTCAGGGGGTCTAGAACCAAAGGAGTCTTTTGGGAGGTAGAGGCTAGAGAGTGGGGGAGGTGCGCAGGGGTTGAGTTTCTGAAAACTTCTAAGCAGTTATCTGGAACCCATGGGAGATGCTGGACAGGGCAGAGCCTGCGGGGTGGGGCAGAAATGCTGGAAGAAGCCTCTGGCTGGGGGCGTCCCATGGATTTCCTGGAAGAGAACTTGGATCTTCTCTCCTTGCCCCTCAGTTCCGGTTTGGCAGTAGTGGGGGTGACAAGGGCCCTGTGGTGGCAGCCCAGGAGGCTCAGGCCCAGGCCATCCTGCAGCAGGCACGGGTGAGTGGGGCTGGAGGAGTCTTGGTCGAGGGAGGGGTGCGGTGGGAAGGGAAGGCTATAGGAGGGCTGGCAGGGTCAGTTGGGGTGAATGTGGGGCTGAGAGGGAGGTTGGGGAGAACACAGGGCAGTGGACGAGAACCAGGAGTGGCAGGGCAAGTTGGAGGGTGTGCTGGGGCTGGAGGCTCCCCGCTGCCTCTCTGTCAGCTCTGTTGTGCCCCTGCTCCCCTAGCTGGCGCTCCGTGGCCCCCCTGGCCCCATGGGATACACAGGTCGCCCTGGACCCTTGGTGAGTGAGTGGGTGTTGGGGTAGAGGATCCTTTATTTGTATGGGGGGTGTGGATAGTTCTGGAAAGGGGCCAGGTTGAAAGTTGTTTTGCTTCTTTGGGGGAGGGCTCTGAGGTCACTGTTAGGCCTGTCCCTCATCATGGCCATTCTCTCTTCTCTCTCCCAGGGGCAGCCTGGAAGCCCTGGCCTGAAAGGAGAATCTGGAGACCTAGGACCTCAGGTGGCCACCCTCCCCCACGCCTGCCCCCACACCTGATCCCCAACCGAGCGCCTCCCGCTGTCTATGCCAACTAACCCTGCCTGTGTCTCCCCTCGCCAGGGCCCCAGAGGACCTCAGGGCCTTGCAGGCCCTCCTGGCAAGGCTGGGAGAAGGGTGAGTGCCCCAGGGCTGGGATGGGTGTTGGGGGAAAGGGGTATGGAGGATTGCGCCCCCTACTGGCTCTGACACTTTCCTGGCTCTCCCAGGGCCGGGCAGGTGCTGATGGAGCCCGGGGGATGCCTGGAGAACCTGGAGTGAAGGTAACAGGCCCCTCTCCCGCACCTGTAGCTCCCAGCCCCACCTGTGCTGGCTCGTGCCCCAGGCTCCCCCAGGATGCAGCCCTCCCTGCTCAGAGCACTGTAGGGAGGGCTGGGGCAGGGAGGGGTGGGCCCTCACTCTGGCTGCCTCCCTTCCTCCTAGGGTGACCGAGGTTTTGATGGACTCCCGGGGCTGCCTGGGGAGAAGGGACACAGGGTGAGTATATTGGGGCAGGCGTTGTGATGGGGATAGATCTGTGGATGGAGGGAGGCAAGGAAGGAAGGCTGGGAGTCCACAGGAGTGCTGTGAGCGGAGCCAGCTGGCGAATCGAAGCGGGCCTGTGTCTGCCTGCATTGGGGCTCTGAGGCCCTCTTACCTGTTCCCCTCTTTTCCAGGGTGATGCTGGTGCCCAGGGCCTTCCGGGGTCCCCTGGTGAGGATGGAGAGCGGGTAAGTGTGGCAAGCACAGGGGCTGGGTGCAAGAGAAGTCTAGAAGGTAAGGCCACGTCACCATGTCCTCCTCCTCCAGGGAGACGGTGGGGAGATTGGGCCTCGAGGGCTGCCTGGAGAGCCGGTGAGTGTCCAGGGGTCGGCTTGGGGACGGGGCTCTGGGGAGGTCAGGAGTGGGCCATGGGCACTGAAGGGACGCATTTTCTCCAACCCATCATGCTATCTCCTCCCCGTACCCTGAATGCAGGGACCCCGAGGTCTCCTTGGCCCCAAAGGCCCACCTGGTATTCCTGGACCCCTGGTAAGTGACTCTGATTTGGGACCCTGATGTGACCTCTTGACTTCTCCAACTTTCCTCCCTTCTCACCTCCCCCCCGCCCCCGCCTCCACCTAGCCCTAGCCCTGCTTCAGCCTTCGCCCCCAGAGGTACCAGGGCTCTGAACATAGCCAAAAAGAAAAGTAAATCCTCAAGAAAAACAAAACAAAAGCCCACAAGCCCACAGGGCCGCAGCTCGGTGCCCCATGGGGCTGGCTGGGCTGGCTGTGTTTGCTTAGGTTTGGGATGAAGTGGAGGTCTGGCCGTCCCACCCTCTCAGGACCACAAGTCCCTCCAGGCCCACCTTCTGGCTGCTCACACCCTTCTCGTGTTTCAGGGTGTCCGAGGCATGGATGGTCCCCAAGGCCCCAAAGGGAGCTTGGTGAGTGATGGGCGTGGAGACCCCACCCCACCCCCATTCCCGAGGTCCCCGACAGGGTCCTATTCACCATCTGTGTCGACTCCTTGCCTACTTCCCAGCCCTCTTGGCTGAACTGCTGGGACTCTGTTCTCTGCCCTAAGTTTGTTCTGTTACCATCTCCTCTGACCCCTGCCTGGTTGCCTGTTTCTAGGGACCCCAGGGAGAGCCAGGACCTCCTGGACAACAGGGCACCCCTGGGACCCAGGTGAGTGGTCCTGCCCACCTCCTCCCCAACTTTAGCAACTTCCCCGGGGCTTCCACAGTGGGCCAGACCCCAGATGGGGGCAGGAGGTTAAGGATCTCAGGCTCCGGTTGGGCCCCATGCACACTCTGGGTGGGGAGGCTGGCTGTAGGAGAGATCCCACCTACTCTATCTAGGGGACAGAATGGAGGCTCCTGTGACCTCTCTCTCCCTGTGTGTAGGGTCTCCCTGGGCCCCAGGGTGCCATCGGTCCTCATGGAGAGAAGGTAAGTGACTAAGTGATTTGGGAGACAAGGGGCTCGGGATGGGGTATAGGGAGCACCCGAAATGTCTGTAGGGACTTTAGCTGTGTCCAGACCTGACCCCTCCTGTGACTCTGAGCCTCCTCGTCTTCCTGTAGGGCCCTCGAGGGAAACCAGGGCTCCCTGGCATGCCTGGCTCAGATGGACCCCCGGTGAGTGAGCCCCCACCTGTTAATCCAGTTCCCCTCAGCCCTCTACCCCCAGGCACGGCCTCTAAGCTCCTTCAGTGACCATCCGTACCGTGTCCCTGGCACTGAAAGGTCACTGGTGGTGCCTGCCCTGGTCAGTTAGCTTCATCAGGTTACAGGATACTTGGTTTGGAAAAAGTGTGGGGAAGGTGACAGGGGCCAGTGGTCACCTTCTCTGTCTTCTCTGTCCCCTACCCTCAGGGTCACCCCGGGAAGGAAGGTCCTCCTGGAACCAAAGGAAACCAGGTGAGATCTTCCACGTCTCCACCCAGACTCAGGAGCCTCGGGGTCCTTGGGTTCCTCGTTTCTCAAGCCCCGTGCCCTGTAACCCTGCCTAGACTCCAGTGCCGCTACTTCCATTTCTACCCCCGAGGGCCCCACACTGGTACCACGAGGCCCCTTTATAAATGCTTCTATTTCTTCTCCCAGGGCCCGTCTGGACCTCAGGGTCCTCTAGGATACCCGGGACCTCGAGGTGTCAAGGTAACCAACCACCTGGCTGGGAGATAAAGGGCTGCACTCAGGGGAGCGCGGTGGGGTCTTAGGAGCTCAGCCCCCACCCCCTGATCACTCTGTCCCTACCCCCTCTCATTCCAGGGTGTGGATGGAATTCGGGGTCTGAAGGGTCATAAGGGTGAGAAGGTGAGCACCGTGCCCGCAGCGTGCCAGCACCTCCGCCCTGCCGCCTCCTCTCTCACGCCCTTCCCTCCGGCCTGCCCATGCTGCCCCCGGCTCCCAAGCCCCTTCCACCCCTGTTCTCTGAAACCCTCCTTTTGAACCCCCACCCCTCTGTCCTCTGTGGTGTCCTCTCACCTCTTGCTTCTCAGGGCGAGGATGGCTTTCCTGGGTTCAAAGGTGACGTAGGCGTGAAAGGTGACAGGGTGAGTAGAAAGCCCACACTGGCCCCTCCCCCATGTCCTAATGACCCCCCGCTTTGGAGCCCCCAGTCACCAGTGTACTGCCCTGACCCTGGACTCCCCAGCTCCGTGCTGTGCTCCCCTGGGGCCTGAGCCCAGCAGGATGACAACCCCACTGTCTGCCACGCTGGCCCTCCGGTCCCGGCACTGCCCCTGCGGGCTCCCTGTCCTGCGTAGCTTCTGGGACCCCAGCAGCTCCGCCCAGCCTCGCTGGTGCCCGCTTCTCCTCTGGGTCCAGACCCTGACTCCAGTCCCCGAGCCTCACTTCTCCCACCCTCTCGCTCAGGGCGAGGTTGGAGTCCCTGGATCCAGGGGCGAGGATGGCCCCGAGGGGCCGAAGGGACGCACTGGACCCACGGGAGACCCTGGGCCCCCTGGGCTCATGGGCGAGAAGGTGACGGGGGATGGGTCTGTGCCTGGGTCCTCTGGGGATGTGGGCACTGGGGCCAGGGTGGATGGGGTGCCCACAGCTGACGTCAGAGGGTCAGGTGAAGACAGCCACGCGTTCATCACGCTCTCCGGCTGCCCAGGGGTTGCGGGGATCGATGAGCAGTCAAGGAAAAGTCCCTGCCACGCATGAAGAGTCTGGTGGGGACAAGGCATAGAAGGTAACTAGTGAAAATGTGCCCAGTCCCAGAGCAGCAGGAGTTCCGAGAAGGGAGAGAGTCTAACAGCGGTGAGGTCTGCGACCCGCAGCACCGTGCTGGCTCGTCCCGTCAATCCCTCGAGGCTGGCATAGGTTTTGCAGAGGCATAGGGACGTTAAGACGTGTTAATCACGTAGCCAGTGAAGGGCAGAGCCAGGGTCTGAGCCCAGGCAGTCGGCTGCACGGTCCCTGCTCCCAGCCACGCTGCCCTGGAGCGCCAGGAGGAAGGGGCGCGAGCGCGGGGGGTGGCGTGGTGGGCTGGGCGGAGGGCTGGAGGCCACAGGGGACCGGTTGTGGTGAGGTAGCAGTGGATGCTGAGGTGGACAGAGAGCAGCAGCTAGACTGAATTGACTCTGAAGGACTTGCCAGAGCTGCAGACACGGGGGCGGCGACCTCCCAGGACTAGGGTTGGGGAAGTCCTCTCTCAGGAAGGAGAGACTGCCAAGGCCGGACAGCCCTGGGCTTGAGGAGGGCAGGGCTGGGGTTTAGGGGGTGGATGAGGCTGGATGAGGCTGGGGTCTCTAGGGATGGAATCGTAATGGTGGCTCCTCTTGCTCCCTGTCTCTGCACAGGGCAAGCTGGGTGTTCCTGGTCTGCCTGGCTACCCCGGACGCCAGGGTCCTAAGGTGATGTGATGTCCCGTTTGTGCCCCTCCTTTCCCTTCCCGACCGGATTCCAGGAAGCACAGGCTGGCAGAGCAGTGGGGGCCCTAGAGAGAATGTAGCTGACCCCTTTCTACAGATGAGGAAACAGGCCCAGAGAGCAGCAGGGGTTTGTCCGAGGCATCTAGTTATCCCCAGAGCCCGGGTCTCCCATGCTGCTGCCTCCATGGTCTGCTGGCCCCCTCTGGCCCTTCCTGAGCCCTCGTCTTTCACTGACTTCTCAACTTCCCTCCTTTGCCATCCTCACCAGGGGTCCCTGGGATTTCCTGGCTTTCCCGGAGCAAGTGGAGAGAAGGGAGCCCGGGTAAGCTGGGGGACGGGAGAGGGTGCGGAGGGAAGGGCTGGGGGCTCTGGAGGGGTCTCTGGGGAGCCGAGCCTGGGTGATGTTCTCTCTCTACTTCCTTCCCACCAGGGCCTGTCGGGGAAATCAGGGCCTCGGGGAGAACGGGGCCCCACGGTGAGTGCAGGGGTGTGAGAAACAGGAGGTTCAAGATTCAAAGGGGCGCATTTGTGCTTTTCTGACCCTTCCCTTCTCTCTAGGGTCCACGGGGTCAGCGAGGGCCCCGAGGTGCCACGGGAAAGTCTGGAGCTAAGGTTAGTGGCCTCTGCAGGGCTCCATCTGCCTGCTGAGCCCCAGCTCTCCCTCAACCTCTCTGACCTTGGGGATATCTGGAAGGCAGCACCTCCCACTCCCTGACTTTGTTTCCTCCCACAGGGGACATCTGGCGGTGATGGCCCCCACGGGCCCCAGGGAGAGAGGGTGAGTTGGCTTGAGTCTCCCCTTCCCCAGCGCTTCCCTCGGGAGCCTGGGTGGAGCCAGCTCCCTCTGCACCCTGGGGAGGAGGCTGCGCCCCTGCCAGCACCTGCCCATTCTCCTGACTCCATCCTTCTCTGACCCTAGGGTCTCCCCGGACCTCAGGGTCCCAATGGATTTCCTGGCCCCAAAGGACCCCCGGTAAGCTGACCCTTGAGATCTGTCCACCCTGGCTCTCTGAGTCCTTCCCTATCCCCCTTTCCAGTCTAGAGTTCACCTGACAGCTGAACTCTTCCAGGGTCCCCCCGGGAAGGACGGGCTGCCGGGACACCCGGGCCAGAGAGGAGAAGTGGTAGGTGACGCCCCTGGCTGCTCGTTCCCTCAGACCCCAGAGCCGTCTTGAAGGCTCACAGGGATGCTCCCCCGGCAGAGGGGAGTGCCCCCCAGTGCTGCTCAGACCATGGCCCAGGGCTCGAGTGACCTGCCTCCTCCTCTGGGAGCCTGGGGTCTGCCCACAGTGCCCACACCTGCTCTCACTGCGTTCTCCTCTCTCTCTTTCTCAGGGTTTCCAAGGGAAGACCGGCCCCCCAGGACCCCCAGGAGTGGTGGGACCTCAGGTAGGTCTGTCCCCAGGGGAGAATGGACCCTGGACTCTGGAGTTATGCTGTCTGCCCCTCCTCTGTCAGCCATACACCTGTGCCCTGGTCTACCTGACCCAGACCCCTGGGGCTGGGGTCAGCGGTGGGGGCTGGATTGGGGGCAGGATTTCCTGGGCCTGTTCTCATCTTGTCTCCGGGAATGGGCAGTTCCCCCACAGGGACACAAGGTGGTGCAGTTACTCCACTCCGGGGAGGAGAAAACCCAGCGGCAGCCAGGGGAGCCCCCAGGAATTTCCCAGGAGCTTTGGGGCAGGGATAAAGGGGTTCTAGAGGGGTATTTTAGGGTGGCCAGGGTGGGCTCTTTTGGCAGAAAGAGGGATAAGGGTCTGAGTGGGGACTTTGCATTTTTCTAGGGAGCAGCAGGAGAAACTGGTCCCATGGGGGAGAGAGGTCACCCAGGCCCCCCAGGTCCTCCTGGGGAGCAGGGACTGACTGGGACAGCTGGAAAAGAAGGAACAAAGGTCAGTGAGGGGCTGGGCAGGGGGGAACTTGGGGGGCTGGAGTTGGGCTGAAAGGAGTGGGTAGTTATGGATTTGAGGGGCCAGGCATCTCTGATTTGGGAGCATGGCTGTGGCTCATCACCTCTCCTTTTCTTTCAGGGTGACCCTGGTCCTCCTGGGGCCCCAGGGAAGGATGGTCCTGCCGGTCTGAGGGGCTTCCCAGGGGAGAGAGGCCTGCCAGGCACCGCTGTGAGTGGTTCCCAACCCCCCTGTAACCAGTCACCAAGTATCCTGGCCCCCTCCCTGGCCCCTCCGTGTCACCCCTGCTCCCATGTCTCTGAGCCCACCTCCCCTCCCCAACCCTCATCCTTCCCATCCCCGTGGAGTCCCACCTTCCCCAAACCTCTGTTGACAGGGTGGTCCCGGTTTGAAGGGGAATGAAGGTCCGGCTGGCCCCCCTGGCCCTGCAGTGAGTCTGGGGTTCCTGGGAGGCAGTAGGAGGGAGCCGGGAGGGTGGTGCGAAGGGAGTGGCATCTGGATCCAGGCAGCGGAGGGGACTGGGCAGAGGGAGTCTAGGATCAGCCAGAACACACCTGACTTGGGGCTCTTCTCCCAGGAATCGTGGTCAGGGGTGGTGTGGGGGGTTGCGGTCTCTTCCCTGGGCGTCTGACGTCATCTCGTTTCTCAGGGCTCCCCTGGGGAGCGAGGTGCAGCAGGATCGGGAGGACCCATTGGCCCCCCAGGGCGCCCAGGCCCGCAGGGTCCCCCTGGAGCAGCAGGAGAGAAAGGCGTCCCTGTGAGTGTGGGCGCCCTGGGGAGGGGTTCTGGGGGGCTCTGTGAGCCAAGGGGGTGGGCTATGAAGGAGTTCCTGCACGGGTGTTTGAGGGTGAGGGTCGCTTCCAGGCCGCGACTCATTTCTCATTCCCACAGGGTGAGAAGGGCCCCATGGGTCCGACTGGCCGCGATGGCGTGCAGGGTCCTGTGGGGCTTCCTGGTCCTGCTGGGCCCCCGGGTGGGGCCGGAGAGGATGGAGACAAGGTGAGGGACCCACAGGCCCCGACCAATCTCCTCTCCAGATGAGGTGGCTGATCTGGGCATGACCCCTGACCCCAGTCGTGTCATTCTCCCCACTCCATCCTTCTCCTTTCTCTAATATCCCATCTGCTTTCTCCTCCCAGGGTGAGGTGGGAGACCCCGGACAGAAGGGCACCAAAGGGAACAAGGGTGAACATGTAAGTGCCCATGACCTTGACTTCTGACCTCTTGGCCTTTAACCTCATTCTCATCTGGTCTCTCTCCTTGTCTTGGTGTCTCTGACTCTCCTTTCTCTCCAGGGTCCTCCTGGACCCCCTGGACCCATTGGTCCTGTGGGGCAGCCTGGAGCCGCGGTGAGTGACCCCTCCACCCACTGCGGCCCCCGAGGGAGGCTCTAGTCTGCCCATGGCGCTAAGGGTGGGGATGGGGGCTCTGAGCCTGGTGCTCAGCTCTGTGTGGGGTATGTGGGTAGAGAACACCTGATCCATGACTCATTTCTGTGTCCTTGTCCCTGCCTCCTCTCCCCAGGGAGCAGATGGGGAACCTGGAGCTCGGGGACCCCAGGGACACTTTGGAGCCAAAGGTGATGAAGGAACAAGAGGGTTCAATGGACCCCCAGGACCCATTGGCCTACAGGTGAGTTGGGGGTGGGGACAGGGGCTGAGAGGAGGGTCAGGCAGGGTGGGCTGCTGTTTGCCCCAGACCCTGCTAGCAGCCTGCTGAAGAGGTCTGGGGAGGAGGGGGCAGGGCAGAGGACTGGGGGTCATGTGGGGCAGGGCATGTGGGGTTTGAGGGGAGGGGACCGTGGGGGCCTGTCTGCCTAGGGCTGTGCTTTGAGTGGGTTGGTCGCCTGGGTCTGTGCTTTGTGTACCTGCACAGGGTTTGCCAGGCCCCTCTGGGGAGAAGGGAGAAACAGGAGACGTGGGTCCTATGGTGAGTGTGACCCTACGGCCCCCCCTACACCCATTTGACTCACTGGCCGGGCTGCTCCCCTCCTCCGACACTCTTGCGCATCCGCGGTGCTGTTCCTTTCACTCCCCTCCCCCATCTCTGGTGTGCCTGTTTCTCCCCAGGGACCACCTGGCCCCCCAGGACCTCGAGGCCCAGCTGGACCCAATGGTGCTGATGTGAGTCATCTCAGCTCTGTCCCTTCAGGTCCATGTGTCTAACCCTCTGCCTCCCTTTCCTCAGACCATGAACTCTAGTCTCATCTCAGGAGTCAAGAGAAGCCCCTGGAAGGCCTCCAGCTGTCTCACTGCTGTGGCCATGGGGCCAGGCGCCTGCACTTAGCAATGATCCTATTTCTGTTCCTCTTCCAGGGCCCACAAGGTCCCCCAGGAGGTGTTGGGAGCCTGGGTCCCCCTGGAGAGAAGGTAACTAGGAAGGGGGTGAATGGACCAGTCTTGGGCATAGGGGGTGAGGGTTGGATTTCTGCAAATTTTGGTTGAGGGTACAGAAGAGAATGAGGTGTGGGGAATACAGGGATTTGTGTTTTTTTAGGAAGCAGATTTTTGATCCTAATCTCTTTGCAGGGGGAGCCAGGGGAGTCAGGATCTCCAGGGGTCCAGGGCGAGCCAGGTGTCAAAGTGAGTGACAGCTCTGAGACCCCACTCCCCCCTCCCCCCTCTTAACCCATCCCCACTTTTCCTGGGACCTCTTTGAGCTGGAACTCCTCTGCCGCGAGGGGTCTCTGCTCCTGGCCATGCTCTGCGCCTCATGGCCTCATGCTCCTGGCCAGGTCTCTGCTCCTGGCCATGCACCTGATTGCTCTGAGTGAGCCCGTCCACTCTCTCCTTGAAGGGGAAAGGCGCCAGTTCCCACACAGGCTTGGCTTTCTGTGTGTCCCATTGTCACTGAGGGGAGTGGGAGAAGGCTGAAGAGGTCCTGGAAGCAGAGGCTGCATCCCTGATCTTCGAGACCCCTGGGGACCATCTGTACCCTCCACTTGTTCTGCAGGGTCCTCGCGGGGAGCGTGGGGAGAAAGGAGAGTCGGGGCAGCCAGGAGAGGCTGGACCACCAGGGCCTAAAGGCCCGGTGGGCGATGATGGCCCCAAAGGGAACCCTGTGAGTTTGCAGGCGGTGGGGGAGCTGAGGAGGGCCCCATGAATGGGAGACCTGGGAACATGGGTGTGTGTGAGCCCAGGGTGGGGGATGCCGGGGAGGGATCCAGAGAGAACAGAGAGATGCCCTGCAGTTAACGCCTGAAAGCATTAGACAGCATGCAGTGCACAGGTGGGGGACGGGGTGCAAGAGACCTTCTGCCTAGGGGGGTGCCAGTGGGCATGTGTGGCAGAGGGACAGTGTGGCATGTGCTCTGGGAGTCTGGGTTGGGTGGGCTTAGGGAGCTGTTAATCTAACACTTGTTCTCCTGGATCAGGGTCCCGTCGGTTTTCCTGGTGACCCTGGCCCCCCTGGAGAAGGTGGCCCTCGGGTGAGTCTTACCCAGGGAGGGGAAGCAGCAAAGAGGGTGGGGCCCCTGTGTGGGCTGGTGGGCTTGGGTGTTGGGAAGCTGGGGATATGGCAGGGCAGGCAGGGGGATGCAAAGATTGGCAGCTTTAGGGGTCATGCCCCTGGTTGGGGCCCACTTCTGATCTTGCTTCATCCCTGCAGGGTCACGATGGTGCTAAGGGTGACCGTGGAGAGGATGGTGAGCCAGGACAGCCTGTGAGTGACCAGCGACCCTGCCACCCCCACTGAGCGCAAGCCTCCAGACCCCATGCCCTTCTTCTGTGCCCCACTCCTGAGGGGCTCCCTTGGCTAGAGGCTAAATACCACCCTAATTCCTCTCTTCCTAGGGATCCCCTGGTCCTACTGGGGAGAATGGACCCCCTGGGCCACTTGGAAAGCGAGTAAGTGAGGTGGACACCTGGAATCTTGGGAGACGGTCCCGGGGCAGTGTGGACGGAGGCTGGGCAGTGGCAGCGGCATGGGCATGTGTGTGCATGAGCGCGTGGGTTTGTAAGTGTGCGGTGTACCTTGGGTAGCTTCGTTCCTGGGTTTTGGAATGCACGTTCTTGCCAGAGGTGGTGGTGTTTACCCACCAATCAGAATGGACACTGCATGGGGGGCTGGCTGGCTTTTCTGGAGGGCCCCTGCTGGACCGGGTTAACCTTTTAGTTGCTGGGGCAGGAGGTGGGCCACTAGGTGGGGTGTGGGCAGGTGGCTCTTCACCAGATGTACAGAACTACTCAAGGTTTAACAGCTGGCGCAGCTTACCTGTTCCTAAAGTCAGTGCCTGTGTGCGCACGTGCATGCGTGAGTCCAGGAGGACCGGAAGTGGGAAGAGTTGAACCTGGCTGTCCACCGCCTCATCTTCTCTTCCTTCCCGCCCTGCTGCAGGGTCCTGCTGGCACACCTGGTCCGGAGGGGCGACAAGGCGAGAAGGGAGCCAAGGTGAGGCAGGGGCCGCCCCATTACTGCGTTCCCTCCAGCTTGCTGGCCCTCAGATTCCTCTGTCCACGTGCCTACCCCATGTCTGCCTTTCCCGCGTTGAGCCCCTTTTGGGGACAGGGTTCCCTGTAATTGTTCCTGCCCCAGGAGCTCCTAGGGTTTGGCCCCTCCTCCCTGCCTTGCCTCTGCCACCTGGGCCCCCAGCCCCCAGCCCGCACCCACCTCCTCTGCCCTTTAGGACACGCTCATGTGTGTGTTTCAGGGGGATCCTGGTGCTGTGGGTGCCCCGGGGAAGACGGGCCCCGTGGGTCCTGCAGGCCCAGCAGGCAAACCTGGCCCTGATGGTCTGAGGGGGCTCCCGGGCTCAGTGGTGAGTCCTAGCAGGGAAGGGCTGAGGTGGGTGGGGGTGAAGGGCCACAGGGGTGCGGTGTGGGGATGCACCTCCTGACCACTGTGGTCCCCTCCAATCTGCAGGGTCAGCAAGGCCGTCCTGGAGCCACAGGCCAGGCCGGGCCCCCAGGTCCTGTGGTGAGTGACCGGGATGTGCCAGGGCGGGTGCCCTGGGGCCAGAGCTGAAATCCTGAAGGATGTGGGAGGTGGTAGGGGAGAGAGTGACTTCCTGTCTCCTCACAGGGACCCCCAGGGCTTCCTGGCCTCCGGGGTGATGCTGGAGCCAAGGGAGAGAAGGTAAGTGAGTGACAGACATGTGGCCAGGTGGCTTCCATCACCCTCATTCGTGGAAACCTGTGGGGACCCCGAGTGCCCCCTGCTCTGCTTCAGGCCTCCAGCACCTGGCCCTTGGGCCCTTGCTCAGTGAGAGCTGCTTCAGACCTATGCCTGCGTCCCTCTCCATGCCTTCTCGGCCCTTCCTCCACCCAGGTGGCTCCTCTCTGCATCCCTGACCACCTGTTCCCTCCCCTAGGGTCACCCAGGCCTCATTGGACTGATTGGGCCCCCTGGGGAGCAGGGGGAGAAGGGAGATCGGGGACTTCCTGGCCCTCAGGGCTCCCCTGGGCAGAAGGGGGAGACGGTGAGTAGAGGGCGTGGTCCTGGAAGGTCTGGGGGCACAAGGGTGGGGGTTCCTCTTGGGGTGGGGAGGGGTGGGTTCAGACTTAGCTGGGGGTGGGAATGGATGCTTGGGAGGGGGTGAGGCGGAGGACCCAGTCGAACAGCTCCCTCCCCTTCCTAGGGCATCCCAGGGGCATCCGGCCCCATTGGCCCTGGAGGGCCCCCCGGCCTCCCCGTGAGTACCTTGTCTGTCCCCCTGCTAAGTCCCCTAAACCCTACTGCTCCCCACCCCATGACCTTCCACTGACTTCCATGGCAACTGCCAGCCTCAGACATAGTCCTCAGTGTCCCCTTTGTCCTCACACCCACAGTGTTTCCTCCCGGCTGTCCCTGTTCCCTCACTCCTGCCTCTCCCTTCCTCCAAGTCCTGTCCTTCGTCTGCAGTGATGTCTCTTTCTTGTTCCTCATTTCACAGGGACCTGCTGGCCCCAAAGGAGCCAAAGGAGCCACGGTGAGTGACCCCCATCAGTTCTGACCTTTGCTTCCCCCAGTGGGACTTGACACTGTCTCTCCAGGGCAAAGAGACTCCCCACCGTGGAGCCCCTCATTCTGAGCCAGGAGACTGGTTGGACCCTCCTGTGATCTTGATCCCATGCTTGACCTCTTGACCCCTCCATGACCTCATTCACTCCTTTTGCAGGGCCCAGCTGGACCCAAGGGAGAGAAGGGTGTCCAGGGCCCTCCAGGACACCCGGTGAGTAGGCGACAGGGCCTGCCTCCCCGCCGTCTGTCTCTGCCCCGGCGTTTCTCTGCTTTACCCTCATACCGACCTGTCTCTGCCCTCTACACCTGTCCCTCCACCCAGGGCCCCCCAGGCGAGGTGATCCAGCCACTGCCCATCCAGATGCCCAAGAAGACTCGGCGCTCAGTGGACGGAAGTCGCTTGATGCAGGAAGATGAGGCCCTACCAACTGGAGGGGCCCCAGGCAGTCCTGGGGGGCTGGAGGAGATCTTTGGCTCACTGGACTCCCTGCGGGAGGAGATTGAGCAGATGAGACGGCCAACGGGCACCCAGGACAGCCCCGCTCGCACCTGCCAGGACCTGAAGCTGTGCCACCCGGAGCTGCCTGATGGTCAGCTCCTCGGGGGACATAAAAATCTCAGCCACAGTGTGGGCTCTGAACAAGCAGGACGGAGGTTGGGGGAGTCTTGGGGAAGGTGCTGGGTGTGGGGAAAGCGTTGAGGGCCTTGGAACGGTGGCTATTTACCAACCAGGTCAGAAGTATTTCATGACTTTAGCAACTGAGGTGGATCTGCCAGTAGGTACCCGCTGGTCACCAGCCCAGTGTCTGCAGGAGCAGATGAACGCACACACGTGCACACACCTGCTTGCACCTACACAGATGAATCTGTACAAGCACCTAGGACCACACATCGTCCCTGGTGTGAGGAGGTCCACACTCGCACACCCTCCGGCCAGGGGAGCCTGGGCTTGCTGTGGGGCGGGGCGCGGCGACGAGGGGGGGATGCATCGGCCCGACTTGTTGTGATGCTGGGTGGGAGAAGAGGAGGACTGGGAGACGGAGAGCTCATGGGGAGGGTGGGACATGTGCAGCAGGTGGGGGAGTGGGAATGTCAGGGCAGAGAGCATTTTGGAGCCTGGGACTGGGTGGCCTTGATGTCTCCTCTCCTTCACCCAGCAGGAGAGTACTGGGTTGACCCCAACCAGGGCTGTGCTCGGGATGCCTTCCGGGTTTTCTGCAACTTCACAGCAGGGGGGGAAACCTGTGTGACGCCCAGGGATGATGTCACACAGGTGAGAGCTGGCCCGGACTGCCCCCCCCATAGTGTGCCCCCTCAGGGCCCAGTGATTTCTGTGTTGATGTGACAAGTCCCGTGGCTGCCCCCCCCACCTGCGGACCCTTCTCTATCCCTTGGCTCTTCCCTTTCCTTCTCGCCAGTCCTCTGATGCTCACTTTGTCTCCTTCCCACGACAACCCAAGACAAAGGTTCGCCTGTGTGTACCCCCAGTCTCCTGCTCCCACTCGCCCCTCATTTATCCTCCAGCCCTTCCCCCGTTCCCTGCTCACAGCCCTGGCTCAGCTGCCCTGGTGCAGTAGGTGCTCCTCGCCGGTCTGCCTCCCCCTACCCCAGCCCTCCCTCTCCTTCCAGTTCTCTTACGTGGACTCAGAGGGCTCCCCGGTGGGTGTGGTCCAGCTCACCTTCCTGCGGCTGCTCAGCGTCTCAGCCCACCAGGACGTCTCCTACCCGTGCTCTGGAGCAGCCCGTGATGGTCCCCTGAGACTCCGGGGGGCCAATGAGGACCAGCTGAGCCCAGAGACCAGCCCCTACGTCAAGGAATTCAGAGATGGCTGCCAGGTGGGAACCAGGGAGAGGTGGGTGGGGCAGATCGCAGACTGAGGCTGGAGGAAGGAGGGAGAAAGACCCCTTGGGCAGGCCGCCCAGGAAGAGCAGGGAGGAGTCCAGCCTCCTGCTGTCAGAAATGCCTGAGGGAACTCAAAAGAGGTGAGGAGGGTGGGGGATGGAAGCCGGGCTGCTGTGAGCTGTCTGCGTGGGGTGCATCTCTGCACACACCAGCATCACACGGCGAGTCGTGCGGGCTCTTACACACATTGACACTCAGGTGCCCAGCAGGGGCACATGGAGTGCAGACACACACATCCACGGAGTGACAGGTGGGCACACAGACATCCTCAGTCTCTACATCCTGGGTTACCCGGAAGGGGTCAGGGTGCTCAGAGGAGCCTGGGCCTGAGGTTGGGGTGGGGGTGCCTCCACTACGCTCACTCCTCCCTCTCCTGTCTCCCCTCAAGACACGGCAAGGCCGGGCGGTGCTGGAGGTGCGGACGCCTGTGCTGGAGCAGCTGCCTGTGCGGGATGCTTCCTTCTCAGACCTGCGGGCCCCCTCCAGGCGGGGAGGGGTGCTGCTGGGGCCTGTCTGCTTCATGGGCTAGGACCTCCTCGTCTGATCCTGTCCGGAACCAGGCCCACCTGGAATCCTGCAGCATCAGCTCCGTGCCGCCTCCCAAGAGGGCTCCTCACCATCTAGGGAGCCTCGGGCCAGAGTGCGAGAGCCCCCAGTCAGGGGCAGGCCAGGGTAGGGGGAGTGGGTGCCAGGACACCCCAGGGGAGGGGTGGCATCTGGGGCTCTTAGCCCTCCAGCCTGGGGCCTGTTAGAGCTGAGACCCTTATTTAAAACTCACCTCCCAATCACCCCAAATAAGTGGAAAAGAAGAGAAAGGACACTGTGTATTTTGTATTTAAAAGTAATTATATTAATTATTTAAAGAGTGGAAAACAAAATGACAAGAAAGATAAAGAGAGAAATGCCAACACACATCGGCACACGCTGGAGACAAGGGCTCTCCAGGGGCGGCCCGGGCACCCCCATCCTTGCCTCAGGGCTTTCCTCCGTGACTGTGTGGGGGGTTTCCGGGCGAACCCCACCTCCCTCACAGCGCACCCGTAGCACCCACTGTGAACGTCGGAATACACGGTCTCCTTTGCCTCGGGGCTCTGACTCTCTCTGGGGGGACTCTCACCCCTGCCTACCAGGTGTTGGCTCCCTGGCCAACGTAACTGCTGTCACTTGGTCTGGGGCTGGCAGGCACTGCCTGCTACTTGAGGACCAGGCCGCTCCCCCAGGGAAGAAATGGAACAGTATGGGGTGTGTGCAGGGCCTGTATCCAGCAGATTGTTGAAATATTAAAATTCTTCCACATTGGCTGGTAAATCACTGCGGGCCTGCGCTCCCTGAGTATCTCATTGCCATCCTGGCCCCTCCAGTCCCTCCCTGGGTGCCTTCACCCTCCCTGATCCTGCAATTAAAGGGTTACTGTCTGGCATATGATGCAAGGGACTCCCAGGACCCTTTGCCCAGCCTCTCTCCCTGTTCTGACTGATGGTTAATGTGGTTGTCTCCTCCCGGTAGTGTTGGTGCCTATGTTGTTATTTCAGTCTGTCCCCGCCCCCATCCAGTGCTGCTTGTTCCCGGCTGAGCTGTGGCCAGAAATGGATGGCTTCATCACCACGCCCTGGAGGGCTTGCCCATGGTGTCAGTCAGGGCTCAGAGTTTATAACGCCTGGGTGACAAGTACAGAAAGCACAAGCAGATGCCCCGGGGACACAAGGTGGGGGCTTAGGGTCCCTCTGGCCCAGGATTCCAACGCAGGTGTGGGTGTGCCTGTCCTCTGGATTCCGCCTCAACCGCGGCCTCCGCCCTCGCCCCCGCCCGCCACCTTCAGGGATTTCAGGGCTGCAAGGAGCCTTAGATGGCCCAGTCTAAACTCTTTGCAAGTGGGGAGACTGAGGCCCACTTCTGAGACAAGTTTACTGCACTTGTACTCCTGGTCATCTTATCCCTCCCCCTCAGGCTTGCCATGTCCTGCCACTGGCGAGCACTCGCGGGCACATCCTTTGAGGCTTTGCGTTGTGTGGGGCAGCACAGTGACCTCCTTCCCAGGCTTCCCCTCTCCGGGCTTACTCTGCGGCTCCCCTCCCCCCGCCCCCGCCGCCTCTCGACACTGCACGGCCTGGCTCCGGTCCGTGCAGGCGGCAGACTAAAACTCATCCCACGGGCTCAGCCAGCGGCCCCTGGCCGGCGCGCGGAGGGGGCGCGCGCCGCGTGCGCGGAGGGGACGGGGCGCCCGCGTGCGCGGAGTTGGGCGCGACACCGCGTGCGCGGAGGTGGGCGCGCCCGGTCGCGGGCGGGAGGGCGCGCGCCGCGTGCGCGCGGAGGGGCGGGGCGCCGCGGCCGGAGGGGGCGGGCGCCCGCGGCGCGGAGGGGGACGGGGGCCGCGCGCGAGGGACGGGCGCCAGCTTGTGCGGAGGGGGGGGCGGGGCGCCCGCGCGCGCGGTGTTCGCGCCGCAATCTGCAGCCCGGGCCGGGGAGGGGCTGCCTTGCACCCGCGACCCGGAGCCCTGGTAGGCAGCCGGGTCCCTCTCGGCGTACTTCTTCCTTCCTTCGGGCAGATCCCCGACCGCACCGCCTTGACAGTGCTCGTCCCCAAGGACAGAAACCCGGGCATCGGAGCCCGCTCAGTCTCCAAGGCAGGAAGCCCCCGTGGGCGTCTGGAAGCCAGCCTGGCCTGGCGGGGGCAGGCGAGCCCTGAGCCCCCCGCCGCGCTTCTCCCGGCGTCTGCTGCCCTGGTGCCGGCGCCAGACCGCGGCCGCTCAGACGTGCCTCTCCCGTCTCCGCTGAGCCCTCGCCACCCCCGCCGCCCCAGGAGGAGGCCGGACGGACGAGGAAGCCCCATCGCACCTACCCGGGCCGGCGGAGGACGGGCTTTCTGGGATCCCCATGCCGCTCTCTCAGTCTCCACGCCCGCGCCCCTGCCAGGCCTCTGCTCAGGGCAGCTCAGGCCCGCGCCCCTGCCAGGCCTCTGCTCAGGGCAGCTCAGGCCCGCGCCCCTGCCAGGCCTCTGCTCAGGGCAGCTCAGGCCCGTGCCCCTGCCAGGCCTCTGCTCAGGGCAGCTTAGGCCCGCGCCCCTCCCGGGCCTCTGCTCAGGGCAGCTCAGGCCCGCGCCCCTGCCAGGCCTCTGCTCAGGGCAGCTCAGGCCCGCAGAGACGCCCGCGCCCCTGCCAGCCACGCCGGCCGGAGCGAGGTTTCTCCGGCGCTGTCTCTGCAGCTGGAGCCGAACCGCCGAGGTCTCCCTCAGAGCACAAAGGCGACTTCCTCCAAGGTCACTTTTGGTCAGATGCTCTGAGCTCAGAGGGCTCTTCTCCATGGAAACGATGTCGCGCAGTCGCTCGGACACTGCACACGCGGTTCGTTCCCGCGCCCGTCCACGAAGGCCTGTTTAAGCACGGAGAGTGCCAGCCTGCGCCGCCGACTCTTGTACGCGAGATTCTGTGCCACGCTGCTGCCCGCGGCGCCGGGGCCACAGCCCTGCCCTGCGGCCCGTTTCTCCCGCGCCTCCCGCACGCTGGGGCCTGGCCCTAAGGGAAGAGGGGAGGAGGCGGGGCCGCCTGCGCAGGTGGGGGTTCGGCGCGGGGCGGGTGTGGCATCTGGCCACGTGGGTGCTGGCAGAGGCTCCGAGGGCTGTGGGCGCAGGGGCTTTGGGGAACACTTTGGGTTTGATTGGGGCAGAACATAAACTGTTGGAAGAGCTAAGTTCTGAAAAGTTTTGGCTGCCTCTCAGAGGGCTTTAACTTGGACCCCCAAAGTAAGAGGGAGTCATTGATGGTGTTTGAAAGCAAGTGGTACGATGGCACTGTGTGCCGGCTTGGTGGCTGAGGAGAGGAGGGTCTGGGGTCAGGAAGCCTGTGGGGAGGGTTCTCTGGCCTGCCATCCCCTTGGAGACACTTCCCAGCTTGGGCTGATATTTTTTAGCATCTGTGACTTGTAGTCATAAAATAACTTGTGGAATAAAATAAAAATAACTTAGGGGCCACTCAGAGCTCTGTGTCTGGGAGCACCGCCCTGCCCAGAAGGCCTCTGTTCTCGCCTCCCTTGCCTGTGCTGTGCTTGGGGTCTGTAGTTATGAATGGACTGGGGCAGGTGAGTGAAGAGCAGAAACAGAACAGAGTGGGTCAGAACAAGGCTCCAGCTGCTTCAGAAAGGGGCTCCCGTGTGATCGCGGTGGCCACCCACTTTTGTGGTTGTGCGTCCCTGTTCCTGCAAGTTTAGTGTGGTCAGCAGGGAGTGTCAGGGCCACACCGAACTTCTTTGTGAACTGCTGTGGAGTTCACAGAGAGTTTACCCACACAGGCATGGTTACATTTCTTTTTTTTTTTTTTGAGACAGAGTCTCGCTTTGTTGCCCAGGCTAGAGTGAGTGCCGTGGCATCAGCCTAGCTCACAGCAACCTCAAACTCCTGGGCTCAAGCGATCCTGGTGCCCCAGCCTCCCGAGTAGCTGGGACTACAGGCATGCGCCACCATGGCCGGCTAATTTTTTCTCTATATATTAGTTGGCCAATTAATTTCTTTCTATTTATAGTAGAGACGGGGTCTCGCTCTTGTTCAGGCTGGTTTCGAACTCCTGACCTTGAGCAATCCGCCCGCCTCGGCCTCCCAGAGTGCTAGGATTACAGGCGTGAGCCACCGCGCCCGGCCTGTAGTTACATTTGTTAACTTGTACCTGAAGTGAGCAGAAGTCACCCCTGGGTGCTGGCAATTGGCTTTCTGTTATCCTTTTTCTCATCTTCGGGTAGTTTCATGGGAACTGGCATTGCAAGCAGACTGCCATCTCAGTAGAGAAGACTTGTCCCCCTAGTCCTTGGATGAGGACCAGGGACATCTGTAGGGGCACCTCTTTTAGGGCCTCCCGGAAACAGCCAGGCCAGTAGAATGGCTGCAGCTCTCGGCGGCAGTGAGAGCCAGCACACCACACCACCTTCCCTGAGTAGGCAGGAGCTGTCAGTCCGTTTTGTTTGCTCTGGCCTCTCTTTCTATTAGCATTATAATTTCTTACTTCTGGGTTTAAGGTCTTTTGATTCTTAAGACATAGATGGATGGTTTTCCAAAGTAAGACAGATAAAGGCCATGTTGGACTCTATGGCAGCTCACTTCACCTGTAAAGGGCTTGGACTCCATAGCGACCCGGCCAGAGTGTGTGGGCCGTGGCGGTGTTCCTGTGTTGCGCCCCTCTCCTCAGGTCTGGGCAGCATTGCTGGCTCAGGCCCTGGGCCGGTTGTCCTCACTGAGTAAGGCAACCTCCCTTGCGAGTGCTGGCGGAGATTCCTTACAACACTGCAACTTTTCAGTTGTGGTTGTTTTTATTAATACCTGTAAGTTTTCCTTACTTTTAGAACTGCAAATCTATAGAAACAAACAAAAACTAAAAACCAGCAAACATGTTTCAGAGACATTAGGGTTAGGGAGAAGTTAGGAAGTAGCACTGTGTTTAATCGAAGCCGTCAGACAAAGTCTGAGTGGCAGGTGGTCTAGGTTTGGGTTGAGCAGCCTTAGGGCCGAAGGCGGCACTAACGCCAGCCGGCAGGAGGCCTCTCTGTGATTCCGACCAGGGCTTCTCCTTCACTTAGCTGGCCAGGGGTGCTTTGCTTCCAACTGAATTGCACATTTAACTCCGGCATCAGTTTCCTCATCTGCAAGGTGGGTTAATACTTGCTCTGTAAGGGAACAATTCCCCCTTTAATGACAGCCTTTGTACTGTAAGGAGAGGGCAGGGGAAGTGGCCAGCCACCTTGGTTCTGCCTGCATGCCGCGGTTATTGTTGACATGCTGGTGTCTGGGGCATGTTGCTGTCTCTTACACTTCTGATCTTAGTGCTGTCAAGACTCCATACTTAAATGTTCTTTTTTTTGTTACAAGTAGCAAAACAGGATTCAGAACAGTTTATTTCCCCAAGGGAATTTATTGTAAAAATATTAGGGTTTCCCAGGATTTGAGGGAAGGGTTAACTCAGTAAGGAAGAGCAAGAGCAGTTTTGGGGACCTCAGGGGTTCATGGATTTTGTCCCTAGAGGTGGCCATGAATATCACCCAGTAGGGCTGCTCTCAACCTCTGTGTCTCTGGGCTCCAGGATTCAGAGTCCTGGAGCAGCAATCTGGTTGGGTTGGCCTAGCTCATCTTCTCCCTGAGAACCAATCTTCTTCCCTTCCCTTCCCTTCCCTTCCCTTCCCTTCCCTTCCCTTCCCTTCCCTTCCCTTCTTTCTCCGCTGTCCCGTACCCCTCCTCCCCTTCCTCTTCCTCCCCTCTCCTCCCTTCCCTCCTCTCCTCCCCTCTCTCCCTCCCCTCCCCTGCCGCCTCCCTCCCCTCTCCC